GATGCACTCCCCATCGTGTTTGCCATTGTTGACATCCCTAGTTTGGAATCACACGAATGCTCATCTAGTTCACTCAAACTAGGGCTCTGATACCAACTTGTAACGTACCAAAAACCAGATTAAATTTTATTCATTTTAAAACACAATTCCATAAATCCATAATTTACTAAAACATTGTTTACAAATCATAATACGTTAAATATCAAATCAGAGTATCCGTCACATAAACAATAGGATGTATACAATCACGCCTTCGCTTTTCATCGCTCATCAGAAGTACCTGAAATAGTGAAATCCAAACTGTAAGCCAAAGCTTAGTGAGTTTTCCAAAATACCCAATAATACAGTTGATTACAGATATAACACCAGCATGCATACATGGTTTGTTGGTCCTTGACCTCAACCCAACAATACTGGGTTTGTTGGTTTACAATACAGAGCAGTAACACCTCAACCCGACCATCCAAGGTTTGTTGGCACATGGCCTCAACCCAACCATTCAGGTTTGTTGGCACGTGGCCTCAACCTCACCATACCAGATTTTTGACTTCCAGTCTCAACCCAACCATACCGGGTTTGTTGGCGTGGGAGCTCAACCCAACCACCCATATGTCGACAAATATACAAGAATCACACATATAAATATCATAGTAATCCTACATTCGAGGATACATGAACACAATAAATGGGACGGCCTTGGTGCCTTGGACCCATTGTCATTGTGAGAGAACTCACCTCTCAAATTGGACACAAGCTACAATAAGTCCAGACTCCGAACACCGACTCTACCCGTCAACTATTACGCAATTCATATTACAACCTTAATTAATACTAAATTATCCAAAATACCCTTAGGTCAACATTGGTCAAACTCAATAAATCAACTGAGTCAACCCAACCGAGTCGACTCACTCCAATGCGCCGGGCATACTTCGATCTTATGTGGGGCGTTCTCAATTGTGACCAAAACAGACGGGGGCCTAACCGTGTACGCGTGACGTATGCAACTGAATGTTCTTAACTTATTAAGAGCTTAATGCATAAGCCTTTTTCGAACAAACTACAGATCCAAGTCCCAAATGTTGTCATTGACCATAAAGTTTCCCACTTTCTAGTCTTGCATGGCCCTAATATGGTTAACACTAAAAATCGAAACATATTAAGCCATTAAGATAACCAAACTCTTGCATGGGGAAGAACTAAGGGTCAAGAACACATTTTTATCATTTTAAGCCTAGAAAAATGTCCAAAAGGACAACCCATTTTCTCTATAGCATGCCATGCACAAGAAGGCCATATTTTGGGACAAAAGTTCATAATATCAACATACAACAAGATCTATCATCTTAATCACCAATGTATGAACTTTATACCATCTGGAGGTTGAGGATGATGCAAGATTTCTAGATCCAAGATTCACCACCACCTTCTTCTTCTTTTGAAACAAACAAAAACACACTCTTAAGCTTCAAAATGCAACAATGGGGTAAAGTTTGCAAGGGGCAACGTTTCAAGTGATAGAGGCTGGAAATAGGACTTAAAGTTCAATATATAGGGTCCAAACCCTAAAGATTAGGGTTTATGTCCAGAAGGAGTATGCCCCGCGTACTCAGAGTACACCCAACATACTCCCAAAACGACGTCGCTCAACTTATTCCCCCTTACTCTCAGCATACCTACTAGGTACGACTCGCGTAAAGGCCAAAGTTTCCAAATTCATAAATTAAAGGATTAGAAGGAGAAATTTACTAGGATTCGTGTGTAAGAGTGATGTGGTGGAGTTCATCACAAATTGATTTTTTTGTTGGCAACCGGATAGAAGGAGAAGAGAAAAATTAATGACTTGAGAGATAAAATAGAATTGACAAAGAACAGTAAGAAGAAATCAATGTTAAAAGGAAGATGCACACCGGTTTGATTGTGACAATGAGATGGTCGCTAGTGAAGTCTCTCTCTCTCTCTCTCTCTCTCTCTCTCTCTGTCTCTCTTCAACGTTGATCTCTGCCACTATTCCTCTCTTATTGACTTTTCTTTCTCTTTCCATTGTTTCTCTCAGTAGAGTACCCAAATATGGTTAATGTATATAGTAATTGATGAAATTCTTGAGGAGAAGAGGGGGAGGGGGTAGGGATGTAATCGACTCTGGAACTAGATGAACCAGAATAATAGAAGATTGATTAACGAGTGAATGGAAATCCGAGAATCGGACATAATACCACTAACCAGTTTCGGTTCGGTTATGGTTCCGGTTTTGGTTTGAGTACGGTTCTACTAAGAAGTGTCCTATTTAAGAAGATGTTCAGAAACAGAGCAGACCCGACCGAACCAGAACGAAACCGAACTAAATTAAAACCGAAAATAATGGATTTAGGGAAATGAAAACGGGACCGAATACAATTAATCGTTTCTAACTGGTTCCAATTGTAGATTTTTAGTTAAAAAGCTTATCCTTAGGAGAGAGTGGTTATTAGTTGAAACTATAAATAATAAGGAGTGGTTATTAGTAAAAACTATAAATAAAGAAAAGAAGAAAAATATATTAAAAAGGGTAAAACAATCGCTTTATGCAACAAGGGACTGGTGTTGTGATGTTTTGAAACCATACAGACATGATCTATTAATTTTTCAAAAGTTGGATCCTATTAGACCGGTGGGAGTGGCCGCAGTTTGGGCCGCGGTTTTGCCATCTCAGCCGCGCACACTGCCCCCTGACCGCGGTCTGCTGCAGTTTAGGCCGTGGTGCGGCCATTCAAAGCCGTGCAATCTGATTGGTTGGGAGGAAACGGTCAAATATTCGACCGTGAATTTTTTTTTCTTTCTTTCCTTTTTCCTTTCTTTCCTATTAATACACATACATTTTATTTTATTTTATCAAACAAAACAAACCCTTCTCTATAATTTATTAAAAAAAAATTCACCAATTTAGTTATTTTATTTGTGTTTTTTTAAGTTTCTAGAATTATTTTAATGTTTTTTTTTTTTTTTTTTTTTTTTGTTTTGTTTTTGTTTTGTTTTTTATATAATGCAACGTAATGTTTTTTGAATTTTCAATGTAATGTTTTTTTAATTTTCATGTAATCAAAAATTATGTTTTTTATTAAAAAAAGTTTTATTAAATTAAAATAGTTAAAAAAAAAATAAATAGAAAATAAAAGTGTGGCACCACTCATCCCTTGGTGTGCCAAGAAACCATACTTGTGTGGTAAAAAATGACATGGCGCCAAGGGCGGACCTAGGGGTGGTGCACGGTGGCACCGGCAACCCCTAACTTTTTCAACCGCAGTAGAAAATTTTTCGAAAATTTTCGAAATTTTTATTTTTTATACTACCGTGCAACCTCTAACTTTCGCGTGCAACCCCTACTGTAAAATCTTACGTCCGCTTCTGCGTGGCGCACATATGGCGGTGAAGGGAGTGCGGTTTCGGTGACACCACTCCCTCCAGCCTTGTTACGACCAAACGATAGTGACCAATGACCATTTCAGTAATTTACTTTATTTACATGGCAGCCAGATGATTGTTGTCTCTTTACATAGATTTAGAAGTCGTTAATGCCAAGTACCAACTAAGCATTGCTTGTTCGGTTACATCAACTATGTACGAAGTTTCAGTCATTGTTTGAAAAGGGCTATTCCTGAGGTACGTACTGTAACAGTACAAAATATCCATATATCAAAGAAGTATATCAAGATTGAAATAACTATAGACATATTTTTGTACATACGTATCTCCTACGTACAACGGAGGATACTTTCACATTGTGTTTTTTTTTTTTTTTTTTTTTTCATTTTTTTTAAAAATCTCACTGGCATCTTTACAAGACCGTAATAATCAAAGTACTATTACAAGATCTAGACTTTTCCTTGTAGGGATCGCTCTTGAATCATATTGAAAAGTTCTCCATACATATAGATCCATGTATATATATACACATCTGTGTAATTACTAAAATCACCCATTTGTAACTTCTCAAACATCCTTGCAATCTCTGACATTTCCCTTCAGATTTTTTAAAAAGATTAACTCCAACTACATATGGGTATTTTTAGATTAACAAGAATTATTCAAGCTAAGAAGATTTTCAGACGTATGCTTTCAAGTTCAACTCACAAGGCAGATGTACCAAAAGGGTGTTTTGTCATTTATGTTGGTGAAGATAAGAAAAAGAAGCGTTTCATTGTCCCATTGTCATACCTGAAGCATCCTTCGTTTTTGAACTTGCTAATGCGGGCAGAAGAAGAATATGGTTTTGATCATCGTATGGGAGGCCTCACAATCCCATGTAGAGAAGACACTTTCCAAACCATAGTTAACAAGGAATTAATAAGCTATTCCAATGATTCAGAAATATTGCCTTCTGCTTAATTAATGTCATTTACATAGGCATTCATTTTACAACTTGCACCAAAAAAAGCACGTTTATTTTTGGAGTGAGGAGAGAAGTTGGCAAAACAAGAATCAATCGTTGTTGGTAGTGGCAAAGTGGTTAATGTTCAGGATATTGATGCAATATCCATACCATCTTAGATTTCAATTCTTCCTATTTCTGAATTTTGTTCCCTAGACCTCAGGTCTAAGCAGAAGTAATATATATTCAAGTTCAATGGAAAATGCTGAAAGCCATCTATAAAAGAGAGGCAGAACAATCTTAGAGAAGACATGGACAGACAGATAGATCGAGAGGTAGATTGATAGATAGCTAGGAAATAAAGAAACTAAGAGGGCAAGAATCTCTCTTATAGAATTTAGGATCTGAAGAAGTAGTTTCACAGCTATTTCAGAGCCTAAATTTTATCGTGATTCAACAACATATATCTACCACGAAGTAGGGTTGTATGAGCTTTAATTTAAGATAAATGTTACGTAACAAGCATTGTTCGGGGAATAAAGGTTCTGAAAAACATACTCCCTCAGTTCGACAAAAAAAAAGTCAGCATGACATGTACCATTAGCTAGGGTTTTTGTTTGAACAACAATAATTAAAGGCTAGCAATTAAAGTAGCAAAAGCCGAGGAAAAAAACAGAACAATTACACAGATCAAGATTACAATTTAGAGATAGCCATGTTTGGCAAATCCTCCATCATAACCATTAAAGATTGTACCCTCTTCACCTGCTAGATACCCACTCAAAAGCTGTAGACACCACTGATTCAATACGTTTTGTGTCAATGAAAACTGTATCATTACAGAACCGCAATAGGACCCCTAAAACGGTCTATACAGCCCCATCAAAACAGATTTTCATAATAGTTGGGAAGTTGGAAAAACAAGCAACAACACACACCACATTCCCATCCAGCTTTTGGGGTAAAGAAATCCCCCACCATGTTTTCACCTTGTTGCACAGGTAAGCTGCAACATCGCAGTAAGTAAATGTATGATCTTCAGACTCCACTTCCTATAAACAACATGGGCAAAGAAGCCTGTCTACGTCGATCCTGGATTAAGAAGGTTTAAACGAGTAGGTAATCTCCTTTGACCAAGTCTTGAAGTGAGAATATTGTCTTTAACGGTGATCCACTTATTCCATCCGATCGTATCGGGATTGACCACGAACGAACATTTTTCTATAATTTTTCTAAGGGAGGAAACGATGAATAAACCCGTCTATTGTAAACTCCCAGCACCAACACCAACTATATGAATTATCTAAAATAGAAGGACATGTGATTGAAGAGAGAATAGCCAACAAGTCATATTTTGTTCTTCCTTGGTCTATCTGTATAACCCAATGACACACCCTTCTACCATCTATGAACAAATGAACAAAATCTTGCTAGACTTTTATTATTGAATAATTATTAGCGATAATGATAAAGCTGGTGATAATGATGGAGTTATCTCTTAGTATTCTATATTTCAATTTAGTGATTTATCTTTTCACATGTATATCTATTTGTAATTGTATCTTATATATATGGAATATAGATCCTCTCCACGTTTTGTGTTGAGAGTTATTAACATCTAGTTGATGAAGTGACCACCGATTTAATACCGCCAAGGACAAGACTATACGAACAGTAGAAGCTTTTACAACCGGACTAAATGTCAAAGAATAATCAAGACCCGGCACCTGTGTAAATCCTTGTGCAACAAGACGCGCCTTAAAACGATCAAGAGAGCCACCAGAGTTGTATTTTCGTACGAAAAACCCATTTAGAGCCAACAACATTTGAACAAGTAGGTCTAGGTACTAACACCCATGTATGATTAGTTTGCAAGGCATGCATTTCTTCTTTCATGGCAGCAAACCATTTGGGATCTTTAACAGCACTTTTAAAACCACGAGGCTCCTTATTGGAAAAAAGAGCAAGGTGAAGAGGGTGGTGCTTGAGAGAAGAAAGATCAGCAAGATACTTGGGATTTGGTTTAGTAATACCAGCTTTGCCTTGTGTAATCATAGGATGATGAGTTTGTTCCGTAGATGAACCAACATATTGGGATGGGGACGGAACAGAAGGAGTAGCGGCTGAAGCAGGGATGGGCTCAATGAAATATTGGCATAAGGTGCAGCCTGTTGCATTCGTTGAAATAGGCGACCCACAATTTGACGAGTCCAAAGAAGCTGGACTACTGGACATAGAATCTGGGGCAGGCGTAGAATGGTGAGTAGTGGTAGAGACTGGTCGAGGAGGCTCAACAGTAGATGGGCCATCGCAGTAACTTGAGAAAAGTAATGTTGCAAGGTCAATAGGAGCAACTTGACCAGAAAAAGGAAAACTGGTTTCATCAAATTGTGCATGACGAGTGGTATAGATCCGAGAAGTAGCCAAATCCAAGCACCGATAACCCTTATATTGAGTGTCATAACCAAGAAAGATGCACTCTAGACTTCGTGGGGCCAACTTGTGAGGAGCATAGTCAAGCAAATAAGGAAATACCCAACAACCAAACACCCGAAAAACATTATAGTTTGGTGAACATCCAAAGACAAACTCAAAAGGAGACTTATGATCGAGTACCTTAGTTGGTAATCGGTTTATAATATGTGGCTGAAATGAAAGCATCAAACCAAAAAGAAGCAGGTGCATGAGCATTGAAGAGCATAGCAAGGCCGGTCTCAGTAACATGTCGATGTTTCCTTTCAGCTCTTCCGATTTGTTGAGGTGTGTAAGCACATGCTATCCGATGATGAGTGCCATTTTCAATAAAAAGAGAGCGAACCCGATGATTGAGAAATTCTGTGCCACCGTCACTTTGAAAAACTTTTAGTTTTGTTCAGAATTGCGTTTGAACAAAACTTAAAAATGACTTAATAATCTCATAAACATCGGATTTAGATTTTAACGGATAGAGCCACGTGAATCTGGAATAGTCATCCACAAAAATTATGTAATACAAGTAACCATTAGTAGACATAATGGGAGCCGGTCCCCATAAATCACAATGAACAAGATCAAGAATGTTTGAAGAGCGTTTAGAATTAATACTAAAAGGTAAATGTTTGCTTTTAGAAAGCTGACAAGAACAACAAATACTAGGTTTGGGTAATAAAGAGGTAACAGACAAATGACCTAATCTAGACAAAGAAGAAATAACATCAAAAGAGACATGACCCAAACGTTTGTGCCAAACTTCAAAAGAAGAATGAAGTTTAGATTTAGATAACTTGGATAAAAAAGCTCTTTGCCCTTCTTCAAGAATGTAAAGACCTTGATCAACCCTTCCTCGAGCTAGAATTTCCTTGGTGAGACGATTCTGAAGTAAAAAGAAGGATTTGGCAAATAAGATATCAATAGGTAGATCATTTGTAAGTTTGCTAATGGAAATCAAATTTTTGGTAAGATGAGGAACGACAAGAACATCTAATAAAGGAATATTATGAAGAGTGGAATGTCCAATATGAGTGATAGGCAAAGTGTTACCATTACCGAAACCAACAAAATCAGCTCCATTGTAGGACTTAGCATCGTGAACATTGGAAGTCGATGGATTCATGTGAGCAGTAGCACCAGAGTCAACATACCAATCCGAAGATGTATCAGAATAGGAGGCACGAAAAGCGGATGCCAAGTTTGCATCAACAGTGGGTGATCGTGTGGCAAAATTATGAAGATCAGGGCATTGGTTTGCAAAATGACCATCTTTCCTGCAAAGTTGGCAATGAGGAGACCTACGTCCACGTCCCCTACCACCATTGTAGCCACCTCTAGAGTGTCAACCACTGTGAGATGTACCACGATTACCTCTGCTGTTTGAAAACCCTCCACGGTTTTGAGTTGCAGTAAATGCAGCTTGTGGAGTAGGTGATGGCGACATAGACTGAATAAATAATTCATATCCCTCTGCTTGAGAGAGCAAATCCTGGAATGAAGGACGAGGTTTAACATCCCTTTGTGAAATTGAAAAATGCTCAAAAGAAGGTCCAAGACCACACAAGAACCAGTGGTTTTTATCATAGTCATCTACCGGTTTTTATCATAGTCATCGACCAAATTCAGATACAGAGGAAGTACCTTTTCTTCAATTCTCTTAGAGAGTCACGTAGAGTTTGCACTCGCTCAATAGAATCATGACGATAAGCTCTTTCAAGTGCAGTCCACACATCCATGGCTGTGGACAAACCAAGAACCTCATCCATTGCTTCTTCAGTAAGACAGGATTGAATGATGAGAACAGCTTTCTGATCACGTTTTTGCCATTTAACAAAATCTGGGTTTGGTATTGGTACAGGTGGTGGAGCATCACTTGCTGCAGTGGGTGTAACAGTGCGTGGAGGAGCAAGTGAGGTCCCATCAATGTGATCGGTTAATTTCTGGAAGGATAGTAAAGGGAGGATCTGATTTCTCCAAAGAAGATAGTTGGAGGAAGAGAGTTTAATAGTAAGGAGATGGAGAAGAGTGTTTAGGGAGAGGGGGGATTGATCATCTCCAGCAGCCATGAAAACGAGAGAAGAAGAAAAGATGTCGGCGACAGAGGATCAAGATCTGACTGATACCATATAAGATTTAATAACTCTCAACACAAAACGTGGAGAGGATATATATTCCATATATATAAGATACAATTACAAATAGATATACATGTGAAAAGATAAATCACTAAATTGAAATATAGAATACTAAGAGATAACTCCATCATTATCACCAGCTTTATCATTATCGCTAATAATAATAATAAAGAGTACTAATATAAATGAAAGGGAAAGACAATATAAATAGGAAAACAAATTAGGTTAAACCTAGCTATAGGGCTAAAAGGGCCAAAGAGGGCCGAAAAAATGACCTAATAACTTTATTATGCTAACATCCTCCTCAAACTCATAATGAGACAACAATAAGCATTGTGAGTTTGTTAGTCAAAAAATGAAACCGAGGAGCAGTCAAGGCTTTCCCAAATTTATCAACAATCAACATTGTGCCT